ACTTTATCTCTTATAATGATTCCTAATTTCTAGCGAAGGAGCCCAAATTGGTCCAGGATGAGTCAGGTGTTCACACCTGGCCAGGTCAACCATGACCTAGAGCTTGAGCTGTGTGGAAGGGGACAGGATCATATCATATACAACTATAGCAGGGAGATGAGGGACATGTAATAGAAGGGAGGGCAGTTCTCTGAGCAGAAGGATTCATTTTTAACTCTCAAGGCAACCCAGAAAGTGCCAAAGCACATAGGTAAATTTTCTTTAAAAATTACAAAGGCTCCACGCATAAAACAACATGGACAGAAAGGTTAGATGTAAAAGGATAGGCAAAGTTTATCAGGCAAATGTAAACAAAGAAAAAGCTGGGTTGACAATATAAGATTGAGGGGACTTTAAGGTGAAAGGAGGCATTAAATAGGACAGAAAGGTTGCCGAATGTTGATAACAGTGCAAGCCCCCCAAAAGACATAAGCATCATGAGCCTTTTTATATTGAGTCATGTAGCTATGAAATACGTAAAACCAATTCTATACCAAACATAAAGAGAAAATTGCAGGAACGTAACAGTAGCGGGAGACCTTCATACACCTTCCTTAGTCTTTGACAGATTAAGCAGGCAAAGAATGAATTAAGATGAAGAGGAACTGAATAATGTACTTCATGTGTCTGATTTAATAAATATATGTCAATTTTGTACTCTACAAAAAGAAAATGTACCTTTTCTCTAAGTACTCATGAAACACTTGCAAAAATTGGTCATATGTTAGCCCACAAAGGAAATCTCAATAAATTCCAAAAAGCACAAATTGAACAGGCCTTGTTTTCTGACCACAATACAATAAAACAGAAAATTAATGGCAAAAGTTCAGACCAACAAATCCAAACACTGAAATTTAACAACACTCTGCTCAAGAACTCTGGGTCAGAGAGAAAACCAAGGCCTCGATTACAGATCCTTTAGGACCAACAACAATAAGGACATTCTGTGTCAGCGCTCATGGGATGGTGCCAGAGACAGGTTTCGAGCTAAAGACCTTATATTAACAGAAAACAATTGGAGTAAATGGACTAAAGATTCAGGCCCAGGAATTAGGAAACAGTAACAAACCAAACCAAAGAAAATTAGGAGGCAGAAGTGAACAAGTTCATAAGCACAAAGTAATGATTTGAAGACAAAAAACCCCCAAAAAACCCTGCAATATGTATAAGAAGTAGTTCTTTGGAAAAAAATAATAATACAAATAAATTGCTACTCAACAAAACATTAACACAGAAAATTAAGAGTAAGAAAAGGGGTATAATTTCATCTAGAGAGTTTTTTGAGGGAATGTCACAGTTTTAAGCTAATAGAGTTTAAAAGGTCCAATGGATTTGTTTAAGGAAAAAGGAAATTACAAGTTTAATTGACAATCAGAAAACTTGAATGAATCAATACGAAAGGGCAACGCCGGCCTGTGCGAGGCAGGATCCTGACGCTGAGGGATGCGGGCTCTGGCGCCAGCCCACCTGGCTTCGCGTCCCCGCGTCTCCTTTGGGCAAATTATTCCACCTCCGCAAGCCTCAGCGTCCTGAACTTGAATTGGTGAGGACAGTATCTGTCTCCCAAAGCCGCTGTGCAGTCGACAAAGTAACAAGCCGGCCCCCACAGAGCTGACGGCCCCCCCAAGACGCCAGGCCTCCTTATCTGTCGCTCGCTCAGGCTCCCAAGAGCAAGTGTTTCCTCCGCCGCAGGGACAGGCTCGGGCGAGCAGGAAGACGCAGCGCTGTGCGCCCCACTCTACAAACCCAACACGCTGAATAAAAAGCTGACGCGTTAGCACAAAAAAGGCAGATTTTCTTTGCTCATCTATATGAATTAAAAATATATGTGCAAATAGAACCCAGTGTTGTAATGAAAGAACGAGACACCCAAACCAGATAGGCCGTTGCCCGCGACTAGATGCCTGTTTAACTGCGAGGGAATCCATCCGTCCCCTTCGTCACCCCCCAGGCGGTCGCCGTTGTCACCCAGAAGTACTGCTGTTAATTGTTCCCTCAAGGAAATGAAGCACGGCCAAAGCTTTGTGTTCAAGGCTGTTTGATGTAACACCTTTAAACTTTTAAACACCCTAAATACACAATAATAGGGGAATTCTTGCGTAGATGTATTAAACATACATAGAAATATGCAATAGGTTGTTCTATAGAAAGACTAGTGTAAAACCATGTAAAATATTTTAAGAATATTTTAAAGCATGAAAATATATACTTGAGATATATACACTGTTGTCCGCTAAGTGTAAAGGAAAGACATTGAAAATAGTACATGCAGCATTCCTGCGTATGTGGACACTACATATTCACCCGTGTGCGTGCGCGTGTGCGTGTGCGTGTCCGTATGAACACAGGTTGTTCCCTTCCTCTCGCTGCTCCAAACATGCCGCAAGGAGCAGCTTCCCACGTTTGCCATTGTGTGCAACTGTGAAGATCAAATCACCATATCTTTTTCCGTTTTAAGAGCTGTAATCTAATTCTCACTTTCCTCAAAATGAAAAATGCTACAGGTTATTTACAGCAATATTGAGAGAGAGAAAGAGAGAAAGGGAGAGAAAACTTTCATATAGTAACTCACAGGGAGAGGGAAACAAACGGAAATACAGGAACAGGTCACTGTGGCAATTATGACTCTATTCATGTAATATGAGAAGTGTTTCTCTCTAACTCACATACTCCATCATTCAACCTGGCTTCTCTCATTTCTTGCAATGGTCGCTCTATTGCTTAAAAACAAATAAACCAAAAAATAGCAATGAAACTGGTTTTCTCCTTGCCTCTGGGAGAGAAGCAGAAAACTCTACCCTTTCTCTCCCTTCCTGGGTTCTCTGTCCTTGCTGAAATCCAGGTGCAGTACAGAATTGACTCAACCTTTGGCAGATGTTTTTCCCCTGGGTGTGAATATTCTGTCTTAGGAAGGGAGAGTGTCTTCATGTGAGGAATTCTGGCTTCCTTCCCAAACCCACACCCCATTGGACAGTGTCCATGGCTATTTAAAGAGTGTTCTGAACCAATGGAATGATGTCACGGTTTTATTGGTATGGAAAATTTTGCCTGGTAGGAGTACACAAGATGATTTGTCTTAGAAATGGCCAGAGATTAGAGCTAAGAGAAATCTGAACAGAAAGAGATATTGTGGGCCTGGATTTAGGAGACGGCTATCAGGACGGGATTTGGGGACTCATTGGATATGGAAGATGCAGGGAGGGAAACGGTGAACAGTAACTGAATTTCACATCCCATGCCCAGGGGAAGTTAGTACCGTAAACAGAAGCTTAAACGTTGCAGGGGGGAAAATGATGAGCTTACTTTGGGTTTTAATAGTTTGGGCTAAGGGCAGGAATTTCAGTGGAATATCCATAAGCAGTTTAAAACCTAACCCCAAAGACCAGATGGATCCAGCTGCAGGTATAGATTTGAGCACTATCAGTTTGGGCAAGAAGGTGCAGCCCAAGTCTTCATGAAGACACCTGAGCCTTGTGGAGCACAGGTATTTAGAGAAGAGGAAAGGGAATCTAGTGAAGGAGCCAGAGGATACAATGCCGAGGGCAGGAAAGACAGTTTCAATAGCAAGATGCAGGGAAATGAAAGCGGATGCCACCCTAAGATGGTAGCAGAGCTAGGATCCTTGACAAACTAAAGACCCCATGCCGCCTCTTCCCTTGGCTTTTGTTGGAATTAGATGCATGCACATTTGAAAAATAAGAATGCATTGTTGCATTTAAGCAGTGATACAATGTCAACGTGTGCTTTACTGATAAGCCAAAACTTCATTCCATTTTAGAAGCCCCCAGAATGCCTTGAACTCTGGCCTTTGGCAACTATGGCTCTATTCATTTTGTGGTTTGTTCAGCCCACGTGGACTTTTGCATTACTAATTAAAATACATGTTTGTATTATTTTTTAATCTTCTCCCAAGGATGTGGTTATAGATTTGAGAGAGAGGAAAGGAAAGGGAGGGAGGAAGGGAGAGAGAAAGAGAGAGAGAGAGAGAGAGAAACCACCAGCGTGAGAGAGACATATCAATCCATTGCCTCCCATAGGCTCCCAGTCAGGGATCCAATCTGCAGCCTAGCTATGTGCCCTGACCAGGAATCGAACCCACGACCTTTGGGTATATATGACTGTGCTCCAACCAACTGAGCCACACCAGCAAGGGCAAAATGAATGTTTGTTAAATATCAGGCAGTGTCATTTATAGGCAGGTCACAATCTAGAACCCATGACTCCCAATCCCAGGCAGTGGACAGTTCATATCACCTTGCTGTATCTCAGGATGCACCCAGACACCTGTGTATAAAGACCTGGGACGAATCAAACCTCATAAGGTGTGAGCACCTTAAGTTAGGGCATCTTGTTCCTGGCTAACCATACCCAAAGCAGGTCCTACTTCCCTGCCCCGTTCTCCACCATATATGTATTTACCAAACACCCCCCCAGTCTCCTTCCTTCTTGTCCACCCACACCTGCCCAGGCAAAGCCTCTGCTGTGGGTCAGCCAGATCCACAGATGTGGGTGGGTCACCATGGTGACAGAGGAAGCCCTGATGCAGAAGGAGAGAGACAGAAACAGCAGAGGCAAGTTCTTTGAGCCTCACACACTGTCTCCTGCCCTTCGCATTTCTATGGCATCAAAAGTCCTGGACCCTTTAGGTGCTTCATTTGTCTCGAGAAGTGCATTGGNCCTCTGCTGCGGGTCAGCCAGATCCACAGATGTGGGTGGGTCACCATGGTGACAGAGGAAGCCCTGATGCAGAAGGAGAGAGACAGAAACAGCAGAGGCAAGTTCTTTGAGCCTCACACACTGTCTCCTGCCCTTCGCATTTCTATGGCATCAAAAGTCCTGGACCCTTTAGGTGCTTCATTTGTCTCGAGAAGTGCATTGGAGGCCAAGAGGAGTGCTGCTGTGTTGGAGAGACAATGGAATGCCTGACTCTTCCTTAAAATGCTCTTTTCTATGACTTGCAGGTGATCATCAGTATAACCACCCGATTCTAAGCAGTGCTACCCAGACCCCTACACATGGTGAGATATGACACATGGAGAGCACTCTGCATTCCATGCTCATCCCAAGTGGCTCCATCCTAATAATGCCCATTAAGGCATCAAACATATGGTCACTGACTCATTGAGGCCAAGGAGGTGTAAGGAGTCAGGAGCCCACCGTCCCCCTGGGCCACGGTGCCTTACTCTCACTTCTAGACCATTGTCCCCTCAGTGTTCTGTCTCTGATATCAGAGTGACCTTCCACCTTGAAAGAGACGCGAGAGAGACCCTTTCTTAGCCCATTGTCAGTTGCAATCTAGATCCCTTCCCGCAGTCATTGATTCCGCATGTCCACAGCAAGGAGTGAACACTCTCCTTTCAGGTGTGGGTCTAGGAAAAATTAGAACCGGGAGAAATGGAAGAGAGCAGTGAAAAGTTGATCCCATTTCTCACCCATCACCATTTCCAGGAGGGGTGGTGTTGACAGTGCCAACAGGAAGAAGAGTTCTCATAGAAAACACTTTGGAGAAAGAATTGGGAAAACTTAGTTACTAACTGAACGTGGCTGCTAAGAGTCAATTATGAGTGAGCTGTGATTAATTAGAAGACTGGGGTGGGGGGCTTATTAGCACAACCTAAGGAGTAAGGAAAGCAGCCAGTGTACACAGGAGATGGAGCTGTTGATGGCGAGTCCGGATCTGGACATCTGGAGCTGGATGTGATCACAGGATATGCAAGAAGAATCATTCAGCAAGCAGTTAGAAATGCATACGTGAAGTCTGGAGGGAGGTTACAGCTGAAGATGTAAGCTATGCTTTGGAAGCAGCAACAGAAGCCTTGGGAGTGGGAACAATCTGTGCAAGAAGGCGGAAAGAGAAAAGCAGAAGGCAGAGCAGAGAGCCCGGGGGATGCCCGTGGTGACGAGGCAGTGGTGGGGAGAGACGCCAGAAAAGGCAAGCGGAGAATGCCTCCTCCTCAGGACGCTCCGAGAGGGTCCCCGTGCCCCGCCTTTCCCCAGAAGGAGCCGGCGCAAGCACAGCCTCCTACTTACAACAGGAGAAATCCTACTGCCTACTTTCTTTTTCTGCTTGGTGTCAAGGAGATGGGGGTAAATGAGACCAGGTCCTTGCCCCTGAGCAGCTCACAACCTAGTGGAGGCAGGCTTTTCTCTGTATTTTTTCTGGGTGCTACCCTTTTCCCAGGAGCTGGCAGGGCAACTATGAAGAGAAGAGGCAGCCTGTGTCCACTTGATTAACCAAAGAACATTGGCTGGATCCTTATTTTGAGCCAGATACTATGAAGGCATCAGAAAAGTTGGAAAGCAAGAATTCTGCTGTCAAGGAGACTGCCATCTTTGGAGATCAACATGTTCAACTCAAGTAAAGCGATTGGAGATCGCTTGGATATAAACTGGATGGCATTGACAAGAAGAGCAGTTGGGCCTTGAAGACTGGAATCTCTGTGAGCTGAAAAGATGTGACATTGTCATGGAGAAGAGTCTTCAGCCAAGGAAGAACTGGGCTAGAGAAAGAGTCAGGAAGGGCATTGCAATAGGAGGGAAAGGAGGAGTGAGGTGGCGAGGGCAGTCACAGTGGAGGCAGAAGCCAAGGAAGGCCCGGCCGTGGCTCAGTGGCATGTTTTGGAGGATAGTGCAGGATAGGAGCATCCAGAAATGTTGCATTTGGAAGTGAGTGAGCTGAATGATGCCCCTGGTGGGAGCATGATTCCAAGAGGAGAGGGAAGTTCCTTCTCCAGCATGGCCAAAAGTGAAGAAACCGGAGCTAAGGGACTGGTGGCTACCCCAAGCTCTGGGGAGCAGTGCTCTCAGCTTCCTGCCCACTCTGCTTCGTGGCATCTAGCCCGATACTTGCCAGGGAGGCTCTTTCGTACAGCACGTTCTGCTCTCTGGGATGTAGAGCATCGCCCACCCCCTCACATATGTGCTGGCGTGAGCACCAGCTCATTGGCTGGGCTTCCCTCTCTTCACCCCCAGAGCTGCAGGAACCAGTGAAGGCAGGACAGGATGGAGAAGCCGGGAGCTCCCTGGATGAAGCTGCCCTTGGACTAAGCCTAGGAGTGCTTCTCTTTGTCCCACGGTTCACAGGATTCCTGTCTTCTAGGGTTTAGCACTCTCTTTGCCAGGAGGCATGGGGAGCCACAGTCCTTGTCCAGAGTTCGAGCCTGCCCCTTCTCGGGTGTCCCAAACCGAAGGGGATGGAGGGCTAATGCAAGACCACTCACCTACCTCATTTTGGGGAATGGCCACCACTGTTTCCCCAGGAATACCTGTTGACTTCTTGCTGTGCCTCAAGTCAGTCAAGCACCAAGACATACTTGTCTTCCTTTCCCAGATCTCCATTCCTTTCTGTCCCCCACCTTCACGGCCACTCCCTCACCCATACCTGCATCTCCCCACCTCCAATGCCCCGATTCCTGTGCTCTTCCTGCTCTGGCCCGCAGAGCTCATTGACCCCATCAGTCATTCACCTTCTCTCTCTGTCATCTTCTCTCCCATTCCTTCCCCTGTTCCTTTACCCAGGTCGGGCATTGAACAATACTCTCATCCCTCCCTTCAGATTTTGGAATCTCAAGGGAAGGAGGGAGACAGTGGAATGATGTGCTAAGCATTGTTGACTACACTGTTTCCCCCACAGCTCAGAGGTGGTTAAGGGGGCTTCAAGGGAAGCAGATGGAGTAAGAGGAAATGGTTTTGTTGCTCATACTGGCTTGTCAGGTGCAGGGCTTGGAGAGGCGGGAGGGAAGATGTGAGAGATGAGATGACATCATGGGCAGTGTGGGTTGGAGTCTCAGTGGAGCCAGGTCTTGGACCCAGCACTGTGGATATGAAGACAAGATCAGTCACTCTTCCTCCTTCAAACTCAGATTTTTCTGAGCCAGGGAACTAGGTTTGCCTAAAACTGTTAGGGAAAGGACAGAACGTTCATGCCAAAACAGATCATTTTACAACCCTTGACCCCTCTGGCCCCAGCTCCATCCGGCTTACATCTTTATCAGACAATCCAATGATGTACCAGGAGAGTTTGTCATTCAAGGAAAGGTAACCTGTCATCGTGGCAGATAAAACAGCACCTGCGCCCAGGCTTGTTGACAGCTGGAACTGAGCATGTGGGAAACGGAGTCACCAGCACCACCCATGTCTTAGCACATGGGGCCAGGAAAGCGGGATGGAGATGTGAGACAGAGGCTGGACCCTTTCCCTCCTGCTTCCCCCAGCCTTTGTCTCCACTAATGTGATGCACCCCCTCTTCTTTTGCAGAGAAGCCACGAGTGAACAACATCCTGACATCAGCCACTGAGCCCTATGACCTGTCCTTCTCCCGCTCCTTCCAGAACTTGGCCCACCTTCCCCCGTCCTACGAGTCTGCAGTGAAGAGCCACCCCAGCAAGTACTCTTCCCTGAAGAGGCTAAGTAAGTGGGGTTGTCCCGGGTATGTCTCTGGAGCCTCCACGACAACCTCCTGTGTCTCACTCTCTTGCTATGCAGCTGGGGATGGTGTGGAGTCCCAAGCATGGGAGACAGTGGACAAGCCCCTTGTTTTGTTCCTTTGGACCTGAGCCTGTTTTCCCTATAGAACAAATATGGAATCCTCTGGTCCACGTTCCCATGGGAGGCATGCAGGAGAGAGCCTTTTCCTGGCCTTGTCCCATACGGACCATCTTCAAACCATGGGCCTTCCTCACTCTCAAGGTCTTGGAGTAGAGGCTGCCAACACCAGTGCTTTCTCTGAGACTCCTCACAGAGACCTGACTGTGGAAGGGCCCATTCACCACTCCCTCCCCAATCCAGGCAACACTGTTATGAGAACCTGAGACTCCCCACTCCCACACATACAGTCCATTTCATCAGTTGAGTCCAGTTCATCCAAGCTCTGCCTTTGAGTCTGGGAAGGCTCTGGGGCTTGGTAGGTTTAAGACATTACAACATCTGGAAGGTACAGGGTGGAAGAGCTCTTCTCTCCTACCTTTCCAACCCTTGGAGCTTCTGTCCCCATTTCCCCATGAGTCTATCTTTACGACCACCCAACTGCAGGGCTAAGTATTTGCTTGAAGCTATAGGTTAACCCACCATGAAAAAAGTTCAGCCCACGAGTCTCTCTCAGCCACCTCCAAGGTGGAAGGGTGAGTTTCTGTGGCCAGAAGTGGGGATCTCCAATGACCCAAGCAATCAGAGGCATGCCTAGGCTGAGAGAATGAATGGCTCAGGAGGCAGGGCCTACCCATCGGCTACCCTCTGGGAAAACTGAGGAGCAGTCAGCGTTCCCATCGTCTGCAGAGATCCAAAAGTCTGTCTGTGGGAAACCACATTTGTACAATTTGGGGCAAAATGGGCTTGTGTGTATCCTGGGTAAGTTCAAGGGTTCAGCAGGCAGTGTGAGCCTGGGGGGGCCCTGGATGGAGACGAGGGTGCAGCATCTGAATGAGGAGCAGCGTGCGGGCGCAGGGCGGTCTGTGCAGGCTTGCTTCTGTGGCGTGTGGGGGCTGGGCGCCCTGTAGGCCTCCCATACCTTGGCTCTTACTCCAGAGAAAGTGTTACTCTGTTCCTAAGTTACCAGCTAAGCATTTTCACAAGTGCCTCCGGGCTGGAGCATCTTTACTCCAGCAGCAGTCTGGTTCTGCAGCCTCGCTTTCTTGGAGGCCCCAAACCTCATCCCAGAGCTGCTGGCTGCCCCGGGTGTCTCAGCAAGACCCGGGGACCCCTTCTCTTTCAGGATGCGGTGTGGTGGCAGCACTGGAGCAGGAGTTCGGGGCTGGGGCTCGCTCTCCATCCCACCCTGAACTCCCTGGGGACTCGAGGAAGCCCTTTAACCCCTGGATGCTCCAGGTGGACCTAGACGGAGCCTGAGCACTGCCTGGGAGCAGACTCCAGCCAGCCGCAGACACAGGAGGTCTGGCCCAGGATCAGTTTTAACAAGACCCCTGGGGAGTCGTTTGGGCATCAGTTGGAGAAGCTCGGCCTCCACTTGTCTGGGCTGCAGGGTTCTAGTTCAGTCCTGGCTGCCCCGTGGTGTCACCTTGTCACCCCAGCTGACCTCTCTCTCTCTCTCTCCTGCAGCCGACAAGGAGGCTGATGAGTATTACATGAGGAGGCGGCACCTGCCCGACCTGGCTGCCCGGGGCACCCTGCCCCTCAACGTCATCCAGATGTCCCAGCAGAAGCCCTTGCCTCGGGAGAGGCCCCGCCGGCCCATCCGCGCCATGTCGCAAGACAGGGTCCTGTCCCCCGAGCGGCGCCTGCCCGATGACTTCTGCCTGCCCTACGACCGCATTCTGTCGGATGAGCAGCTGCTCTCCACCGAGCGCCTGCACTCCCAGGACCCCCTGCTGTCCCCCGAGCGGACGGCCTTCCCCGAGCAGTCCCTGTCCAGGGCCATCTCGCACACGGACGTCTTCGTGTCCACGCCCATGCTGGACCGCTACCGCATGACCAAGATGCACTCCCATCCCAGTGCCTCCAGTAACTCCTACGCCACCCTGGGCCAGAGCCAGACGGCTGCCAAGCGCCAGGCCTTCGCCTCGCGCAGACACAACACGGTGGAGCAGCTGCACTATATCCCCGGCCACCACACCTGCTACACAGCCAGCAAGACCGAGGTGACCGTGTGATGCACCGGACAGGGCCAGGCGCCTGGCAGGGCGGGGCAGGGCAGGGCAGGAGGGACCTGGAGCAGAGCTTCTAGCCCCACAGGGCTCCCTTCCATTGTCCCCTCTGCAGGAGGTGGGGGTGGGCTATCTTTGCCCAGAAAGCCATCCTCCCAGACAGAGCCCGTGGCCTGGCACAGCACGCTCAGACCTGGGGTCTGAGCAATCGCTCCCTCCTCCAGGAGAGTCCGGGGGAGTGAGGAGAGGGGCTAGGCCCAGTCCCACCCCACCACCATCACCAACTCCCTTTCAGTTCCATGTCCTCTCCCCCCCTTCCTGGGGCTCAGCTGCAGGCCTGTCAGCCAAGAGGCCCTGGCCTGACCCGGGTCCGAAGCTGCCTGGGTTCGAATAGGCCAGCAGGTGCAGTCAATGGGCTGACCGAATAGGCTACTCGGTCTCATTCATTCACCTAGAACTGCATTCCCGGAATCTTCTAGTGCCTAAAAACTGCCTGCTCGCTCTCGGAGACAGGGAGCTGCTGTGTCCATAAGCACAATAACGATTTTCTCTGCCTGCTGGGACTCTCCGGACCCCACTGAGTGGCCCTTCCTTTGCTGACCCCCTGAGGCCCCACCTGGCCCCTGCCTCGCCCCCGAGCCATGGGATAAGGAGGGGCTCCCTTCCTTCAGCTGCCTCCCCACTGTTGGGAAGCCTGCCCCGTCCAGCTGGCTGCCCCTCCCATAAGGTTCCCCTGGCCCCTCTTCTGGGGAACTTTGCCCCTCCCCTGGCCCCAGATGTTTCACCCCTGAACCCTCTTCTCCAACCCTCCCCCAAAGAGTAACGATGAGATGCAGGGACTTTTGGGACACTCTCCCCAGCAACCCTATTTCCACACTTCCTCTAGGCCTCTAGGTCTGAACTATGACCCGCCACTCAGGCCTGCCTTCCCCTCCCCTCCTCTGCTCCCTAGGGGCTTCTGCCCATGGCCAGAGAGCTGCAGGTGGGGAGGGCCACTGTGATGCCCTAGGTCTCAGGGGCTCCCCATTCCCATCACCCAGGGCTCCGCCCGTCTCCCACCATGCACATAAGGCAGGATGGAGACAGAGGCTTCTAAAAGAGGGGCAGCCCGACCCCAGTCAAGGGGGGGGTCTCAGGCGATTGTCCTGCACACTGTCCACTCCTCTCTCCCCATTACTGCCCACTCCCTGGCCCCTTCTTGGTTTGGAATTTGCTCTCTCGGCCTGTTTCCACTTCCCCCACCTCGGTCCTCCAGCTCCATTACTTTCTCCTGGCTGCTGCTGATGCTTCAGACCAGTGCCTCCTCTGGATCAAAGGGACAGAGACCCAATAGCAAGTGCAAATAATGGCACTCCAGGTGGTTGGTCTGGGGACTAACTGGGCAGCACCCCAGTCACCCCCTGCAGGCGACACTAGGGCACCAGGCAGATCAATTCCCTCAGCTCTGTTGGGGGGCCAGCCCCTGCCAGCTTATCTCTGTCCCTTCCTTGCCTACAGCCTGGGGGGTGGGCAGGATGTGACAGCCTCCTGGAGAGTGGATGGTGAGCTAAGCAGCCTCCACTCCCTTAAGACCAGAGCCAGTGGAGAGAGAAGGGGCTCCCCCATTCTCAGGGCCAGGGCACATCCCTGGGCTGGGGCTGGGGAAATCAGCTCCAAACTACTGGGTGAAAATACGAAACTAAAAATGGGACTCGCCACAATCAGACTCTGGAAACAAGGACCTTGAACTGGGATTTTGGATTCCCACAGTTCTGCATATAATATGTATGGCCCTTTAAAAGGGAGGTGGGGCTGAGGCGGGGAGAACTCCTCAGTGTCAGCCCTGAGATTTTCTAGTCTAACCAAGTCCACAATCCACAGAGAAATCAATTGACTGATTCCTCTTACTTATGTCAAGAATTCCAAAGCTCTTGTCTCCTCCCGAGGCTCACCATCACATAATCATGAGGGTAGTAAGGCTCAGGGTGATGAACACAGCCCTCAGCTTCCCCACTGGGGTGGGTCACAGGTACTGTGAGGCTGTGAGGACAGGGATAACTCTGCTTTCCTCCCCTACAAACACATAAACCTTCTCCAGGGCTGGTCCCAGGGGTTTATGAGAGTTTGCTCCAGAGAGGAGGCTAAGAGGGTCCAGCTGGAGGAAATCAACCTAAATAGAGCAGTTGGCCACTCCCAGGAACAAAGGTGTGTCTCTCACAGCTGGTCCCCTAAACCCACCACCCTCTAATCCAGCCCTGAGCCCCTTGAAGGCTGCCTATCAGTTCAGAGGGGAAAGGACGTGGGTAGGTGAGAATGGCCTCCCCGTGTGTCTACACACATACACTCCAAACCAGAAACCTGATCTCATCTCCCTCATTTCCTGTGAGAAGCATCTTCTTGGCACCAAGTTCTCTAGCTCTCAGGATGACACTTCTCCTAGGCCCTGACTTACTGTCTCAGGGGTTGTCCGATAGGTTGATTCCAAAACGTTTCTCATCCCAGCCTTACCGCTATCCCGTTTCTAACCTCTGGTGTCAGTCCGGGTCAGAAAATTCTACCTGAGCCCAAACTTCTTTTCAATGATTCTTCTGCTTCATCCTTGGGTCTTAAAGGAAGGGAGGGAAGAGACAGAGAGAAGCCCACAAACTTGCTCCAATCCAATTCAGTCTCTTATTTCAAAATCCATAACATTGTGTCTTAACTAGGACACAGGAATATCTCATTTATTCAGTCGGTCCATCCATGTTTGCAGAACAAGCAGAGCCACAAGTTCACGCAGCACGTAAAAGAGGGTTCTGGGGTTGAAACTCAGATGTCATGGCTTTCAGCCCCACCAGGCCCGCCCCACAATGAAAGTCCCCCTCCCCCAGCAAGGGAAGCCCAGAGCCCAAAATGTTCCTCTACTTGTTTTGTTCTTTGTGTGAGTCTCCATTGATCTGCTTGGGATGGACTGGGATCTGCACGGTTCTCTCCTGCCCTCAAGGTTCTTGCTGGTCTCCTTGGCCTTTGATGAGGGTGAAGCTCTCACAATCCCTCTTGCCCTTCCACCTTTCCTGTCCTGTTCCTCCAATTAACGCTTGACTCCATCGAGAGTCACAAAGGCTTTCCCGAGAATTCTTTTAGCCCCCTAACTGGGCTCCCTGGTGTCTTGGGTGATGGGTTTGCCTTCTAGAAAGTTCTAAATCTTCCCTTAATTCAAATTTCTCCTTCCCTTGATCCACTCTCTCACCCCGAAACTCTTGTCATAACCTCAGTCTTTTATGCCAGGTCGGTGTTTCCTTCCTCTCATCTTCCTGGCCTTGCCCTCTTCCTCAACTTACCTTTCTCCACCCCTAATTCCTTTCCTTGAGCTTACTATACTCTCTAGTTGTGACACTTAGAGCTATCAGTGAAAACATTCAAAGAATGATACATTCTCCAGGTTTTCTGTTTGCCTCATTGGTTTATCCATCACCTCCTGCCCCTATGAGGTGATGCCCCAGGGCATGTAGCCGAGGGCCCTCCTAATCTGATCTTCAGGAGGGAAGCCAGAGAAACTGTCCTGTCGGAGGCATCATGGTTCAAAGGTCAGCTTTGGCTCCTGCAGCTGGCACATCCCCTGGAGCTCCTGCCCCAGCCTGCCATTAGCTGAGAGGCTCCTATTCTGGCCAAAGATTCATATCCTTGAGGGCTCTTGGCCACTGTTCCACCTCACACCTGTCCTGCTTGCTTGTGCCACAGATCTCCCTTTGTCACGAAATGTTGGCGAGCCTCATGACTCTCCAAGTGTGGAGAAATATTCATTCCAACAATCCTGGGCCCAATCAATCATTTTCTTCAGAGATACCTGTCTGCCACCAGCCTTCTGTCCTCTGATTCCATCCATGGGCAACCGTGGACTTGACCCCAGGTGTTCTGAAAGGGCTGCTGATGACCTGGACCCTAGAAGGCGCCTGCTTTGGGGAGCGTTGACATGTTACCTCCACATACATTCCTCCACCATCTTCCCCAAACCTGGGACACTGCTCTGAAGTATTTTCAAGGAAACTTGTTGTGCTCTGATGAAGTATTTTTCAGGGTTCAGATGTTATTTTTATAAACGCAGCGTTTTGATGACAGATTCAGTGTGAAAGATATGTCTTCCTGGGCTCTATATTTCATTTCAGAAGGAAGCATACGACAGGAGGAAAAAGCTCAGGGCCAAGGCCCTTGGATACACAGCATCCGCCTGGCTTTGTCTCCATCCTGCCATGCGACTGAGGACGAGTCACATTCTCGCTCAGTGCCTCAGTTTCCTGTAAAATGAGGGGCTCTGGCTAGATGAGCTCCGCCATCGAGTTCTTACATGCTAGGGCTTCCGTTAACCACCGTCACCCCCTTCTTTCTTCACCTTCCTCCCCCACCGCAGCTGAGCGGCACGCATCCCACCAAGGCTGCCCACAGCGACAGCCTTCGGCGCCCTAGACAGCCACCGGACTCCTCACCAGAGCGGGGTGGGCCGTGGTCTTGGCCACCTGGGGACGCGCTCATATCTGAGGCTGAAGGGCCTACCCATTCGATAGCTTACCCACCGTGCGTCACGGGAGGCCTCCCACACAGACGCACCTGAATCATTGCCATGTCTGTGCCACTGGGAAATTCTGAATTTGAATTTTCACTCTGATGGGGTCCTTAAAGCTGGAGGGAGGGAGTTCCAATCTCAGAGAGGTGATGGGCTGGAGGAGAAAGGTCCAGCGGCTGGCCTGCAGCACAGCGCTGGGATTCGGGAGCAGCTGGAGATGCGGTCCCCGCCGCAGACCAGAACCCGCGGCAGAGGCTGTGTGTGGCAGTGGGCGTCACATCCACTCCAGAGCCTGTGTCCTGAAGACTGAGTCTGGACGCTGGGCTCCGCTGCGACTGCAGGGAGGGGAAGCACCGGCCCCGCTCCCCCTCGGGCTGCTAGGAGTTGGGACCCACCCCATCCTAGTACCTTTCTAGCCCCGCCTTGGGACACTACTGTCCTCCCGGTGAAAGCTTGAGAAGCAAGAATTGAGAGTACACGTCGGTGTCATCAAACCCATCTCGTAAAGCGGCAGAGGCGCCAACCTTCGCCGTCAGAGCGATGGCGTTACATCCGTCCTGAGGGAGAGGAGGGCCCTGCTCGACCCCGCGGCCCTCGAAGGCCACTCCGTGGGAGGACTCATTCATTTGCTTCATAGTGGCAAACATCCCTCTAGTTCTATAACTCACCTAGACATTTTGTAGTAAAGAATTCTTGAAATTCTCTAATAAAAAAACAATTCTTACTGTACTATTTTTAGTTTGGGGACACAATTTCCTAAGGGGGGATTAATGAACATTTTTACGCATTAGCCCAATTTATGGATTCCGTGTTTATTATATGGTAGTACTGATGCGAAGTACCTTTCTATCTGTACCTCTGCGGTTCCTGCATCCCTGTCAGTGAGCTTCATGACGAGCAGTGCTCTCGTAACTCGGCTTCTGTACAATCTCAGCGTCTACTTACCTGTCAGAGCACATTCTATATGTACTGTAAACAGATATCACTTTAGTAAGATTTAGTCTTAAGGGTTTTTCCACTTTTGTCAGTAACATATATTTAT